ACTAGTTTTTTTCACGCATTACTATGGTAAAGCGCGTTTCGCACAGCGAACTTTTCACATTCTCCCGGAATGAATTAAGTACCTTATGCGAGGTACCACTATCCTTGAAACATTGTGCTTTTAGGGTATAGATTAGAAAGCCTGCTTATCGCTATCTTGGTTTAAATTAAATATCTCAAAACCATCAACTAACTTTTGCATCTACTACTACTGCACCAAGTACTTACTGTAAAATTTACAAAAGTTTAAAGATCGCGAGCATGTAATTCTCTCTCAGATATTAATCTATCTAAAATAAATATGTGGCCTGAATGTGCTTAATAGAAAAAGAATTTATTAATGGCCGAAATCATTTATTGTCTAAAGAGTAACAACGTAACCTATTGCCCAGTTACCCATTCTATTAATCACTTGACACTATAACTTAATACGGGCACCCGCTTATCAAGGTCAATTATTTTGATTAAACTGTTTTAATAATGTCAAAATGAAATCAATTTTGATAATCTTATCAATGGCGCATATTCTTGCAAAAAATGCATTAAAAAATATACGGCATAAATGCATTTTGTCTATAATATAATGAAGTATAATTAAAAGACCGTTAAATATGCATACCAAATTGTTTTTCTAAATTTCATTGCATTCATAATTGAATGTGATTGAAACATTAAACAATAATAATCAGTTAATTAAACAGAAATAATCACTTAATTAAAAATTATTTATACATAGTTTCTCTCTTACTCATATCAATCATGCTCGAATTGTTTTATTTACACTTCTAAACTCTTATAATTAAATTTGAGGATGTTATTGTTTTTATTTTTTTTATTTTTGAACAGCAATAATAAATAATTATTGTTACTCTTCTATGAGCTGTTGTGATGTAATTCGTATAACCTAGCATTATTAGAAGGCAACCCAGTGGCTGTCCTTCCTTTTTTGATGAGATCATTATAAGATATTTTATGACATCATATATATATATATATATATATATATATATTAAATGGTAGTCTTGGATTTGTGAATATTTTGTATGTATATTTTGTATGTAATATTTTTTATGTATATATGAGTAATTTCTTATAGGGCGATACATCAAAGAAAAAAAGATTTATAAATATATATATATATATATATATATATATATATTGAATATTTGATTTTTCAATAAACTGATGTTTCTTCTACGAACATTCATTCAATCCAAGAAAATTTGATATTAGCCAAGCCAAACCAAAACAGGGTGTGACGGTATTGATTGTAAATATCATGAGAAAAAAAACTCAAATTATGAGCACAGCCTAGAGATTGTGACCATTTTTCGGTTAATGTGAATGATTTTTATTATATTCATTCATTTAAACTTTAGAACCGTCACCATAAAAACATTTCTGCAGCAGATATAGATAACAACAAATTCAATATATGGGTACTGTGCACGAAAATATAGTATAAATCATTAATATATGCTATAAAAAAAATATTCCGCTTAAATTGTTTTCACCAAATATTTATCATTTATATAATAAAAATTATATTGCATGTTTTCCTTATAGTATTATGTGCTTGTAATTTTTAACTGCGTAGGGTAAGTTAAAAAAAAAACGCATTAACAATTGATAAAATTTAATGTCTTTTCGTTTCAAAGTCTTCTTAACATTTTGACTTACCTTAGAAAAATAGATGCATGTATGTGTGTGCGGATACAAATTTTTGTCGACGATTTCAGGAACACGGATTTGAATTATTTAAATTTTCGTTTCCTATTGGCGGGAAGACGTGCTGATTAATTTTTAGCCGAAGCAGGCCGAATCAAATTATCAGATATTTTATCGAGATTTTAATGATAAGTACAAATTTTCTTTGCATTTCTTATGAGTTTCGCACAAAGTTTTATAATGTTTAATGGTTAGACCTCGGCGCGGCTTTTACGCGCTTCGATGTTTTGTCTCTAAGCGGTTATGCTACGCGAATAAAAAAATAAAATAAGAAAATCAAATTTTTCAAAAAAGTTCAACTTTTTCAAAAAGTCAACATTGTCAAAAATCAATTTTTCAAATTTTTCATAAAATGATAATGTTTTGAAAAATTTCAAATTATGGTATGGGAAGTACCAGTAATTTGCCTTAAGGCACGATGCCATACACTACTAGTTTTAAAAATTTACTACTAGTTTCATCGAGTACAGCACAATGCACGCGTCAAGTCGAACAGACGTAATATGTAATTCAAGGTACTCTTGTATGTAGGGCGGCTCTAATAGCTCCTATCTCTTACTTTTGCATGTATTCTATCAAATTTGTTTCAACAATATTTATATAATACTAGACAAACATGTAGTCTATACGTTTTTTACTACATTATGATACTACGTTAATGTATTTATTTTATACCTACATATATGTTAGACAGTACTACAAATATTAAGTTAGAATTCTATTTCAATTTTTTTTAATTTTTTTTTTATTATTAACTTCCCGTAGGGTAAGTTATAGTAATCGCAAAAAAATCGAAAATGAAATTTTTTATATATCTTTACGTTTCAAAGGTTTCTGAACATTTTGGGATACCTTAGAAAAAATGGATGTATGTGTGTGTGTGTGTGTGTATGTATGTATGTATGTATGTATGTATGTATGTATGTATGTATGTACGTGTGTGTATGTATGTGCGGATACAAATTTTCGTCGACGATTTCGGGAACACGGATCAACCGATTTGAATAATTCAAAAAACATTCGATTTGTATTGATAAGGAGACGTGCTGATTAGTTTTTGGCGAAGGCAGGTCTAGCCGTTCCAAAGATACGGGGCAAAAAGTGCCAAAAACGGTACCTCCGTTTTTAAGAGAACGGAGCGTCCGATTTGAATAATTCAAAAAACATTTTATTTGTATTGGCAAGATGTAGAATTGGTCAAATTTTCATAAAGCCAGGTCTAGCGGTTTCGGAGATCTAATGAAAAAAGTAAAAAAAAATGCCATTGGGCGGTTAAAAATGATCATTAGACATATGCACATCAAATTATCAGATATTTTATAGAGATTTTAACAATAAGTATAAATTTTTTTACATTTCTATGGGTTCCGTACCAATGCTTATGCGTTAGACGGCGGCGCGGCACTTGCGAGCTTTGACATTTCGTCTCTATGCAGTTCAAGCAGTGCGATTGCTTTGAAAAAAAGTTCAAAATTTTCAAAATATGTTTTAAAAAAATTTTCCTGTATTCAAAAAAAAATTTTTTTTTCTCAAAAAAAATTTTTTTTATTTAAATAAAAATTTTTTTTTTTTCATAAAAAAAAGTAATTTTTTGTCAATTTTATAGTTTCTCAAAAATCTATTTTTTTCGAAGTAAAATTTTTTCAAAAATGTTAATCGTTTTTAAAAAAATAATAATTTTTGGTACGGGAAGTTCCAGCAATTTGCCTTAAGGCACGATGCCCTAATTGCCTTAAGACAGAATTCCACTTACAGCTAGTTTTATACAATTTTTGACAATTTTAAGACAATGTTTACTAATAATATAATTTATTGTAATAATTTACTATCCCAACAAGATAAGTAAAATTTAGAGAATATAAAATGTGCTTCAAAGGTGAAAAATCCTCTGACCAACGAAGAATTTAATATATATTGAACTTGTGTTTCAATCTTGCCCAGGCAGTGTTGTGGCGAAGTTGTCTTGCATGTGAGTTTGGATGGTCTTCGATGCGGCTTTTGTATTTGTCTAAGACGATTTCGTATTTCATCGCTTCTTGAGTTTAAGTTTTTTTTTATATAATATGGCTTTAGGATATTATTTTATAAATGACAATACATATCAAGTTTTGAATGTTTTGAACAAAGTAAGTGTTTTAATTATAAGGAAATTATTATGAATTTGATAAATACCGAAAACCGAGATCGCTACCGATAGAAAATAGGATGATTTGAAATCATAGTAAATTAATGTTCAGATAAATATTAATATTATTACAGTGAGTGATACGATGAACATGGGCACAAACGCACCAAAATTAGTCTGCAGTAATAGTTTTCAGGAATATAATAGGGTGATAGTCAGTACATATTCATTTAAGTAAGGAACTATGTTGTTTGCTGTGGCGGTTGCCATAGAGCTTTCGGTTAAACCGTAGGTCCAACAATAATGCAACCGAAATTTAGCATTTTCATGTATCATATATCGTTTGACTTTATCATTGGTACAACTTCGTCTGAGTTATTACACATATATTCGATATTATTATATCAATTAAATTAATTGAAGCCAAAATGTGAAAAACAAACACATTATTTAAAATTATTTCAAGTAATAATATTAAATTTAAATCGTAATCGTAAAATATACTGCGTATTGACGTTATTTTTATACGTCAATTGCTTAAACCATAAAGATAATTTGTAGATAACATTGCAAGAATGTATTTTTCGTATTTACGTTTGTTGTTTTCCTAAATTAGTTTAATTGAATTGACAATAGTTTGTAGTTCTGATAAACTAGCTATACCTATATGATTAGGAGCAAAAATGTACAATCATAAATTGTAATCCATATATTTATTTTGTGCATTGCGCGATTTAATAATTTCACTATTTATTCACTATTTAATATAATTTGAAACTGAAGATAACAATTATTAGTTAGGTTGTAAAGCTTTACTCAAATTCGTAAGCTTTAAATGAAAATTGAATTACACTTTACTACACTTTATTACAATTGAAAATTGAATTACAATTGGTTACACTTTATTACAATTGGTTTATGATTAATATGTATTATCTGTATAATAATAAATTTGGTTGATCTTTTCTTTTTATATTTGGATATTATTATTTTAGTGCAATTTAAGAAACATTATATAGAATGTTCTGTATGATATTGAAAAAATATGATATCTTAGTCGTGCCATTATCATGGTTTATATTTTTGCGCAATTTTTTGATTATTTAATGTTATGTCTGTTGAATTTTGTAATATTTGTGTATTTACAGATATTGGTTTTGGCCAATAGGCATCTCTCTTGGTATCAAAAATACGAGGCCAAAGCGAGCAGTTGCCAACACACTACTAGAAAGTGCCTATCAAATAAATAGCAGACTTAAATATAAACAGGTACACTGATTACGATAGGTTTTGTTAATTTCTTTTTTAATATGTTTGGGGTAATAGATTAATGGTGATTTGAACATTTTTATTGTTATACAGTATGGAGTAAATGTACGTTGCATAAAAAGTACGAATATGACCAGTGTATAAGAAAACTCCTTAAACTTTATTGGTTAAAATCTCCAAAAGTACTCAAATTTCTTTGCTGCTATATCATATAAGTTCGATATAAATCTAATGATCTAATAGTATTAAATTAAAGTTATGTTTCATGAATTAAGATTAACTCGTAATCCTCATTTTCGCAAGCATTAGAATTATAAAAGCTAGCTCAATAGCATTTTTATGTTCAACTTCCAATTCCAACTCAATTTAATTGCAATAATGGAAATTTAATTTTAACGTTTGTAAAAATACAATTTTTTACTTGATATTTAAGACAAATAGAGCAATAAATGGCTATTGTAATGTTGCATAATAATTGTTTCCTGTTATAGGAATGTACATATGATTAAAATGTGTTCATTTTGTCTCTACATCTCCTAAACGAATTGAAATACGATACATTTTAAACAGAGCTTGCAGCTAAATATCACCACTCAATTAGGATTATTAAACGGTTTGCATGTGTTGCATGCTAGTTATACATGCAACATATATATATATATATATATATATATATATATATGTGTGTATATATATACATATATATATAATTTTTCTGAACTAAAAGCTGTTTGTGATGTTATTTATTTAGTTTTTCATTTTTAGGTATTTTCTACTTGCGAATAGATAAAATAATATTAATACATTTATATACGTTTCAATTATAATTTATTTAATTTAAAATTATAGTTCATGGTACCTAAGAATTCAATTGTCTAAAATCTAGATGGTACAGCTTTAGATAGATCATTTGACAAAATTATGCAATAAAAAGTTGTAATAATCGTGTGATGTTAAAATAAAATCATAAATAATATTAGCATGATTTTATACTACTCAAAAATAGAAGTCAACTAGAGAATTGAATATTCTTGGACTGGTTTTGCAAAATTTGTTAAAAAAAAAATGGAAAAGGCAAAGAGAGGGTGGCATTTTTCTATAACTCATTTTAAGTATTCAAACAAAAGCAATATTTTATCAACTTTTTATCAACAGGATATGCATAATTCTAAAATGCACACATACTCGATTGGTTCAATTATGTATATTTTGATTTGAGCACAAGTGCAATGGTATGTGGTGCTCATGTATTTTAATTAGTAAAAATATTTTATTGTAAGCAACGAGTTTTGTTATGTAAATTACTGTTTGTTTAATTTCCTTAACAATTTTAATTAAGCAGATAACAAAATATTTAATCAATTCCGCTAAATATCTCGATAACATTCGGGTAATTCTTTAATTTGTTAACTTCATTTTTTGTTTGTTTATATTATACAAATGGAATCCTATATTTATTTTACATATTACAATAGTATATATATATATATATATATATATATATTTGAATAGTTTGAATATATATATATATATATATATATATATATATATACAGGGCCGGTCCTGGGGTCCTTAGCGCCCGCATGCAACTTTTTTCTCTAGCGCCCCCCCCCCTATCAATATTAACTGTTTTAACAGTTTATCATTAAAATTATATAAATAATTACATATTTTTTAATCATTAACTTTTAATTATTCTGGATTTAGTACACAAAAAATTAGATATAATCTAAAAGCGTATAAAATATATTGATTTTAAATTTATTTAGAAAATCGAGACGATTCGCGGGTTGATTATAATCAAATATTTTTAAAATTTCAATTATTTTTAACGTATGTGCAATATTAATATTTGTTAGAACATTTTACTTATTTATTATGTGATTTATTCTATTGAGCAAATCATGCCAATCTAACAAAAACTAACTTTTCATTTTCAATCATAACACTCGTATTTCATGTTGGATTTTTGAAATTTTAATTTAATTTAATTTTTCATCATTTCTTGAGCTATATTGAAAAAAAAACTTATTATATTTGATATGTATTATTTCAGCATAGTTAAACATTATTAAATTTAGAGTATAGACACCGCTAGGTATAAAAAAAGCCTTAAGATTTTCGATCCAAAGTAAATTTTGCTTTCATTTTTCATATTTGTTCCATTTCCATAACCCTAACCACGAATGTCTTCAACATTCAAAATGCATCAGAAGCGAAACATTTGCAACAAAAACAAAAGTTACAATTCAATTTCTCGGAATAAACATGTCATTTTTTAAGTACTGACTCCCCATTTTTCATTTTCCGGATTATAATTTGTTTATATTTTTTAACAAGTTCCGTTTCAACTAAATCAGCTCGCAATTTTTCGTCAATAATGCCCAATAATTAACTTAATCTTTCGCTTAGCTTATGGTATTGAACACTAGATAATTTCTTTTTCTATTCCACGGTAAGTTCAAACAAAGAAAAAATTGAAAAATTGATTAAGTAGATTAAGCAAAGAACAGAGCTGTTATTTACTAATTTTCATAGTTATTAATTGGTTAATTGTTTCTACTGATATAACATTGATGTGAATAAATAACAATAACATAAATGTGAATAAATGCTTTTTGTGCCTCCGTATTCCTAATTAAGTTAGATTGTTTATTATTAGTTATTAAGTATTGTAGATTTTATATAAATAATTTTAGATTTAAAAAAAAAATTATAAATATTATATTATAAATTTAATTTCCGAAACTCGTTTTGGCGCCCTCTAAGGCGTGCGCCCGCATTTTTTGCATGCATCGCATGCAAGGCAGGACCGGCCCTGTATATATATATATTATAGCAATAGTATACTATTGCAATATTTAACGCCTATTTCAAAGTGCTGTCAAAGGTTAAATATTCATTAGCTCATATTGCATATGTTTATAGTAAATTTACTATATATACAATGCACATATAATAATATATATATATATATGTGTTGAGTGTTACACACACACTTATATATATTCCCTGGTGTAACGGGCTAACGCCCGCTACCTCGTGTGGACGGGACGAAAGTTTAAGCCCCCGCTCTGACAACCTGACATCGGGTAGCAGCGATGTTTATTTCTATTTGAAAATATAGATCAAAAATATATTTTTATTTGACAATAGCCTATTTCGGGAACTGCGGTGTGAAATGGCAATGGAAAATCTCACACTGATCTTGCCTGAATCGAGTTGGAGTTTAACTCAGTTCTCGGATTTGCCCTAGGACAGTACTAACCGTTATATATTATCTATTATATAAAAATAAGTCGGGTTTTCCTTCCTGATGATGTAGCTCCAGAGCGCACGAACCGATTTCAACGATTTTGCATTCGTTGGAAAGGTCTCGGGCTCCGTGAGGTTTATAGCAAAGAAAATTGAAGAAAAATTTCAACAAAAAAGCGGAAAAATCTTTTTTCACGTACAGCGTCATCTCTGATACTTAGCATGTACTACAAACCAATATTTTAAGTAGATGGTGCAGGTAGAAATAATAAATAAATTCAAATATAAAACAAAAAAATTATTGTATGTATGTTTGTTTTGAAAAGCAAATTTATATAGTTCTATATTTAATGTTTATTTAAATAAAATATTAGTTTCAATCATTCGAAGTTTCTGAAATCCTCATATCAAAATTATAAAAACGTATATATATGCACACACGTACACACACATATATATACATATATATATATATATATATATATATATATTTATATATATATAAATGCATTAAAAATTATTGGAATTCTTTAACCTTTGACAGCGCTTACTTTGATATTCACGTGAGAAATGTATCAATACATAATCTTCTAAAGTCTGCTCTCGCTTAGCGCATTGAAATGTGCGTCTATCAATGAATGTGTTTAAAAATATAATGGATTTGAATTAATTATATATTATACGATCGTCATAGTAAGTTATACCATGATATTCAGAACATAGTTTATGGCTACATTTACTAAATTACAATCAAATACGAAAACATTTTTATACTAATTGGTGGGCATAATCACTTAAGAAACATGACGTTTTATACATTTAGTGTTGTCTGCGGTAGTACAAGAAGCACTAAATAGAAGTAGGCGTTCAGCAGCGTAGTATGCTTTTTTTGCTACTGATATTGAGCTTTCATAGTTGATATTATCTCACATCATGGAATAACGAATTTTAATATTTGCTTTTGCATTAGATACACTAAATCACGTATAAATTGAATGTCATCTTAATAATGTAATTTTATGAAATAACATGTTATGAAAAAATTCAAATGCTATTTTTAGCCGAAAGTCCGCCATTGTCCACAACCCAGAACTATATATTTTCTTTTGCTTAACAATATGAGACAAATAAGCAGACGAAGAACAAAACTACAGTAATCCATATCTCATTACTTGTACGTCTCTGGATCAAAATCTAAAACGATACTTACAGTTCGTTTGTGGTAAAAAGTTATTGTGCCGTCGCTTCCGCACGTGCGAAGAATTAGTAATCTTTTATTTTTCTAACGTTGTGACATGCCTCAGAATGGACCTTACTTCTTTGTTATAATGGACAAGTTCATCGAACTTGATTTAAATGAAACTTTGAAAAAATACCAATCAAGGAAGAATTTCGAATCGGTTAAAAAATGATAAATGACAAAAATCTTCAAATTGCGTTATTCGCTTGTATTCTTCGATTACATGATAATTTTAAGATCATAGTGGTCATTGTACGAAGTTTCATTGGTAGTTAATTAATTTACAATATAAAAATAAGCCTTTTGTGGTTTTGGCATGTTTGGCATGGTTTTGACATGTTATGTATATACATGTATGAATTCATGTGTTTATTTTGCATGTGTGTTTTGCCTCTTGTGCTGTTATTTGGTGATAACTGAGTTTAAATCTATTCTGAAAGAGTAGAAGTAACCTTTAATGAATGTTATCGACAGGTCGCAAAAATAAGTTCTTTCGATTGCGGCTGGTCTAAACATGTTCTTTATAAATGACAGAAAATTAAAAATAGCGCCAGATAAAAATGTGTATTTTTTTACATGTTTGATGTTTTCAAAACACATTTAGTCTGTTGCTATGTATTATATATTAAAAATGGTTTTGAGAAATGTATTGAATTTAGATGCAGAATATCACAAATGCAATCATTTTTATAATTGTTTTATTATACGGATAACAATCATCTAATAATATTATTTATAATTCAACTGAATAATAAAAGTAACAAATTATCGATGTGGCAAACAGACATAATTATTGACTGTATAATATATAGAGATTTGGTACATTGGATAAAAATGTAATTGTAGTTATACACGTCATGTTAAATTGCGCAGTTTATACTGTTTTTTATGTACTATAAATTTTATGTTCTGATTATGAAAGCAGATTTATTAACATTTGTATTTATTATTGCTGAAATAAAATTATGCATAAATTATGCCATTTAAATCGTGCGACAGAAAATTCGTCAACGTAAATTTTTTTATGGTCTCTGAAATATTAATTTTAATTTCTGCTAGTTCTAGGCTTCTGATCTACATTCTACTTTTAAAATTTCAATATAAATATGCACAGGAACTCATGTGTCTATTTCATACGCTGAAAAATCAGCATTGTTATATATGAACTTGTAATAAAAAAAATGCCTAAGTTTTTAAAATAATAATCACATTATTTGGAAAACATTATTGAAATGAATGCTGGCGTGGTCATTTTTCTAAAAGGAAACTTATATTTAGAATTTAGAACTTGCTAACCAAATTACACTCTTCATTTATTACTACTTGCGTACAATATAAATATAAAATGGTCCTCGCCATAACGCTAGTTTATTAGCATTTTATTTAATTTTATCAGGAATCGCAGGTTACATTTGTTGCAATTATTTTTCAAGATAATGTAAAGTTTTTCAGAAATGCGGTATTGTAGATTGTGTCACAGCCTTTTCTAGATCTGATCATGTTTTGATTATTAAGATTCACTACCGTTTTATTTTGTGATAGTTTGAGCAACATCGTTTGCACAAAACTTTCATTCAACGCTTGATTTATTGGAAACTATTTTTAATGATTGAACCGTTAAAATCAATGACCAATCAAATTTAATATAGTAATATATATTTATTGTAGAAATATATTCTATAATATAAACATATATAAATATATCTGTGTTTGTGTGTGTGAATCTCTATATCTGTATATACATATATATATATATATATATATATATATATATATATATATATATATATATATATATATATATATATATATATCTGTGTGTGTGTGTGTGTGTGTGTGTGTGTGTGTGTGTATTTGCTTCTAATGATGGTGTTTCACACCCTTGTCCTACTTTTAGGCATTACTGCTAATAATAATTATTATGTATATATTCTCAACTTTTTAACAATGCATACTGTGCCCGTTGACAATTTTCTCAAATATTCCTGTAAATAAAATAATATTATAATATCGAATTGAATTAAAACTTTATTATAGCATATTAACAATATTCTTTGCACGCTGTCGATGGTATGAATTATTCAGTGGTGATTTGAATGTGTATTTTGCGAAATCCTTCTAAAACTATTTAAATTTTGATCTTTTTTTTTTCATAGAATTAAATGTTGGTTAGAATAATTTGAACTTAAACGAACCAAATAATTATAAAAAAGTTTTTTTTTAATGTTACTAACAGCTACATCATCACAGTGTTACGTTTTATAAGTAAATCGCTATTCTAACATTTTTCAAGCGACCATGATTTAGCTTCAGTAATTTTATTGTATAAATATGCTAATGATACCTACAACCACAATTTTTTTCTTTTTGATAACTTGTTTATTTATTTTATATTGGATCTAGTAGTTTTGAACAAGTAATTAATAAGGCAAATATATTTTAAAATTTTATGAGGTATTCGCTACGAAATTAAATTTCTATATTATTTATAATAGATGTAAATAGTATTACATCTAATGTGAATTGAAAAATAAACGTACTTTTTCAACTAACAGTAATTTAATTTAAGTTTAAGTAACATTTAACAATTTGATTATCAATAATTCAATTATAATTGAATTTATCTCACTGCTCTTGAAAGCTCTTGAGAAATGGAAATTCACTTCATATCAAAACTAGATATCTTTCTAATAATATAAAAATAGACGATGTTGCTTAATTGATTTATTTTTAGATTATTCGACTATAAAGGCTCTATCATTATCATTGTTACTGCTATATAATAAAAACAGTCTATGATGAGTTATCATTGTAGGTAATTCAAGTAAAATTAATTAATAAAACTAAATTGAGTTGATTTATTTGATAGCTTACTTTTATTTATTTACCAAATATTTCATTTTTATCTACTGTTATGAAAATTATGTTTATGTTAACTAAGTTAAATTAACAATCATGTTAGGTAATTGGGCGGCTGCTTTTGGCCTAGTGGTTGAAGCTAGTCTGGATAAGACGCGAATCAGGGGTTCCAGATTGGATACTCACTTTGGACAGACTGTTGTCAAGCAGCATTAACATCGGCTTTCACTTGATGATATAGATGGAAATATGTTTGTGAAAATAATCCTTAGTCGGCTAAATTATTACAGAAATTGCAATATTAAATTCGTTCGATAAAGAAAGGACAACCGTTTGGGCTGCCATTTATAAAAAAGCTCACCTCAATCAAGAAGTCGAAAGATTATTTCGATAATCATTTCATTATATTTTTTTATTGATTCAGGATTATTGTTCTTACTTTATACATATACAAGAATTAAATGAAATGCAATTAAATGAAAAATACTTCACAAATTTCTGTATATGTCAGCTGAAATGTTAGTGCTATTAGAATATTTAAACGGAGTATATTGCATTTCAGGTAGTATCATTGTCAAAACAACTAGATTGGTCTGAAAGACAGATCGAGAGGTGGTGGCGGCTACGAAGAGCTCAAGACAAACCGTCTACTTTAGTCAAATTTTGCGAGAATTCGTGGAGGTGCCTTTATTATTCATATAGTTTCGTATATGGTCTGATTGCGCTTTGGGATAAGCCCTGGTTATGGGATATAGATGAATGCTGGAAGCAATATCCCCATCAGGTAATAGCAGTATGATATATGCTGATTAGAAACAAAATCTATTCTATATTTTTCTCATTTCTTAGGTACTTCCTTTTATATTTTTTTATGATAAAAGTGCAATGATTTAATATCTACTAACAATCTAACATATATTACAAGAAATCTTCTGTAGCAAAGAATATTTAATAGTAATCTCTTGCTGGCAATATTCTTATGTGTATGTTGCAATCAGATTATTTATTGAAATTAAGTTGTCGAAATTGCTATTAAATGCGTGAGTTATATCTTGCGTTAGAAAATATTTACTCTTGTAAATTTCAATTTCTTCATAGGTATCTATTTACTATTGTTATGTGATAAATCTATTGGTATGTATTTACTATTATTACGGTGGTTTGTATTTTGATTCTTTGTTGATATACACATTTGATTTGCTATGATTTTATTCATTACAAACCCCATTCTGATCTTGGTATATTGTGCTATTAAATTTTACACTTATTTTGAGAGCACATTTTGATTGTGAAAATAATTTTCTGCATACTTTCTATAAAGATATATATAATGCTTTTATTTATGTCAATTTTAATATATTTTTTTTTTATTAGTTCTTTATCTCAATCAATTGTTTTATTCAACAGTCAGTCAACAATGAGACTTGGTGGTATTATATGATATCGATGAGTTTTTACTGGTCGCTCTGCATATCTCAGTTTACTGATGTTCGGCGTAAGGACTTCTGGCAAATGTTTGTTCATCATTGTGCAACAATTACCTTAATGGCTTTTTCATGGATTTGCAATATGCATCGAATCGGAACTCTAGTCTTATTGGTTCACGATTGCGCTGATATATTTTTAGAGGTAAGGTGCACCTATTTATTTTTAATATATTATGAAAATATGTAGAGTGCTTAAGTTTTGTCTGTTTTAGGCTGCTAAAATAACGAAATACGCAAATTATCAAAAGCTTTGTGATTGTATATTTGGGTTGTTCACAGTGATTTGGATTGTTACAAGATTAGGTGTTTACCCGTTTTGGATCATGTACAGGTATTCTATCATAAATTACAAATGCAATAATGTGCAATAAGCTTTTATTATTATATCATTACATATATGGAGCATTAGTTTCAATCCAATGACAATTACTAACAATTGAAATAATATATTCCATCAAATTGCAATTTAAGAAAATAGTACTTTTATTTAATACATAGTTTAGGCAATCAAGTTTGGAAAAAAATGTTTATTGCATTTCATTTTATGCTGATTAGATGAATATTAAATATCTCAATCACTTGTAGCTGTAAAGTGAATGCATAATGAATATTATTTCCTTGGAAAAGTGCTAAAACAAAGTACACAGTACTAAACTTAATTGAATTAAGAATATGTAGGAGCATATTTTCAATGAAAATTTATGTCGTGTGGTATATATGTTACAACAATTGATTTGAATCATAATTTCTAAGTGGCCTGGCACTTGACAGTATTTTTAATAAGTTGCAATTACAGCTGATCTGAAATTTTATTGAAATTATAAAAATAGTAACAAATTCGAATTTTTTTTTTCAATTGAATGGAAACTTCTGATGATAATTGGTAACGATTAACTGCCTCTTAGTATCGAAGATGTCTAAAAACAAAAATACATTTTGAATCCAAGAGAGGTTTTAAAAGATTTAACATTTACTTTTTATGTTAATTTAAGGTTTAAATTTTAACAATGAGGTTTCAGGATAATATTATGAATATTTCAATAAATTTTCATTATTAATAAATCAATAATTTTACATGACATTTAATCTTTTTTAAATGTTTTTTGAAGTTATATCGAAATTTAGATGTCTGATTTTAGTAATCCTGTCAAATGTATTTTAGAAGTATTCTTGTATTAATTGTATTAAAAAAATACTTCAGAACCTTAATTTGTTTTATCTGAGACTGTATGATTTTTTTTTTACTTAAAAGGTTTTACTTCAAGCGTAATTTAATCATGTTTGTGAATTTCAGTACTGCAGTAACTGCACCAAATTTTGTGCCTGTGTTTCCTGCATATTATATATTCAATGGTCTTCTATCCTTGCTCCTAGTTTTACACATTGCCTGGACATATCTTATATTGCAAATAGCTTATAAGGCTTTAGCTGCAGGCCAAGTAAGTGTTTACATATTTATACACACACACACACACACATATATATATAAATATATATATATATATATATATATATATATATATATATATATATATATATATATATATATATATATATATATATATATATATAATATTGCATTTGGAGATATATTTTTATTACAGATGGAGGGTGATCTGAGGAGTTCAAGCAGTGATCTGTCAGAAAGCTCTGGAGCTGGAAATGATAAAGTTATTCTTAATAACCATGTATCGCACCAATAGATATGAAATATTTAGTATAATCTATGTATGTATATATATATATATATATATATATATATATATAATATTGTATATACACATGGGGTCATATTTATATTATATACATATGTCTTTTTAGGAGGTGATGTTGATCAATTGAATGTTCAATGATCCATCTTCAGCTTTGGCTATGACAGGGTAATACTCTTTAACTGGCAATGACAGGGTTATACTTAATAACCACTTATCACATTAGTGAATGTTAACGCATCTTCAAAATCTACGTATGTAATTAATATTTATGTATATAATATATTGTAAATCTATATTCTGTACAAATATGTATATTTGTACACATTTATGTTCTATATTTGTATACATGCATTACATATTCACACACATCATACACACATTATATATTGATATAATGTACATATTTGTGTAAATATAATGCATGAATAAGTGTGCGTATGTGTGTGTATATATATATATATATATATATATATATATATATAATGTGTGTGTGTGTGCATATCATGCATAAGTATATATTTATACATATTTAATGTGTGTATGTATATATGTATATACTATATGTTTGTATGTGTTTATATATATATATATATAATATATATAAATGCATATAAATAATATGCATGTGGGTTTCCATACACCTGTATGCTTGTGTGTATGCAATATGTGGGTCTAAAATTTAAAACTCGTGCTTAAATTTAAATTTTCGGACTTACTCAAGGGAATACAATTTGAGTCTCATACCGTATAGTAATATCACGCTAATTTTGAAATACGGAATATTCAGAACAAGTATTAATTGTTTCTCTTTTTTAATTAAAATATATGAATTATAAACCTGTTAGTGCCTGTCAAAAGCTATAAATTTAAAAACCTTGTTTAAAATGGCCTTTGAATTCTTCATCTTTGATATATAAATATATATTTGAGTCTGTATTATATTCACAATTGCTACAATCTCATAACTTTTAGTGACAGCTCTTAAGTCGATAAACAATTTTTTATAGATATGATATTCAATATTATTTAAAATTTAGTAGTTGTTAATTAAATTTAAAGTAGGTGTATGACTTCTTTAAAAAATTCTCTTGGCTTAAATTTGCAATATATGTGTATATATCGTTTTGTTTGTTTTTAAGACATCTATCAAAATATATGTTTAACTCTTATGTGAATATGTTTTGACAAGTTTATATATAAGTATAATATTTGCCACTTATTTTCTCTAAAGAGCTGAATTTATTCTATGATCACTGCAATGAAATTTAATCTTCATTGTGTCAATATAAATTTTTTAGATCGGATATTTTCTCTAGTCTTTCATTTTATTAACAATTATGACTGTAAATACAGCAAAAATAAGAGTCATTCGATCAAATTATTTTATATTTTTTTTATGCATACACTATAACAGAAACTTGTTATATCTAGGTTACGATTGTTCTTCAGAGTAATGAGATAAACGCATAAACATCCTTATTTATATATATATATATATATATATATATATATATATGTGTGTGTGTGTTAAGTGCTTTAAATAATACATTTTTCTTTTCTATGTCACAAAGAGTAAACATCATGCAACATGGTTTAGTTTAATTTCATAAAATTGTTTTTAAAGCTTTGGCTTTTAATTCAGTCAAATTTATAGTGCTTTAATAATTTGACGTTTTTTAATTTTTCTGTAATAAAATAATCTAATACCTAATTAGCACATGAAAATTCTATATTTTGTGCTATAAACATCACTTTCATATTTATTATTGCTTGAATTATGAATTCAAAATTGTTTGTAGTTTATATATGAACAGTATTTGGGAATAGTATTTTATAATAAGAACATGTTGAGAGCATTCCGATGCACATATGTGTTCTGTATATATGTGTACATATGTATATACATATATACATTATTGTTGATAACAAAAATATTAAAATTACTAAGTATGTATTCTCATCATTTATGTAAACAGCACAATTTAGTGTTGTGCTTGAATACTTTACCAATTCTACTGCATTTAAACATTAATTTTCATTGCATAGTTTGAATTGAAAGAAAAAGTTATATAATGTAACAATATTCAGTTATTTATATTTATTAAATAAGGAACTCATGATATAGCATTCTGATAAAAAATGTGAATATAATTCACATTTATATCAAAGATCATATTTGTACGCCGTTGAAAGTTTACCTTTATAAACAAATTTATATAAACATAATTATATATTTGTGTGTTCGAATGTTGGCATATGTGTGTGAATGTGTATGTATTTACATATGCATGTATACATTTTTTGTATATATGTATGTATGTATGTTTTGATATCTGTGCATAAGTGTACATGTGCCTTTGTTTATATGTATGCTTATGTATTTGCATTCAGCACTTGCTTTTTGAAATTTATTACATCGGTGTTATGTTTGCCTTTGGCTTTTCACTGGATGTTGCCTAAAATATTACTTCATTTTTTCTTTTTAAATATTATTACTAAAGTATTATTTAATTGTTTGAAGTTATTCATACTGTAATCAAAATTTTATATTTCATCAATAAATTAAAGATAATATAGTGTATTTATATACATATATTCATATGTATATAGATACATAACTTTTATACAAATTCAATATGAACAGTAGTTATTAATGGCAAAACTATGAAATTGATAACAATCTATACTTATACCTATTTGTTGTTTTAAAATAAAATGTTTTTTTGAGAATATGCATAAAATATCTTTAACCATTTTTATAGCTAGTTTTTATCCGAAATCTGTTTGTACATCTCATTTCATGAATAGCTGATACTCAACAATGTATGTTATTTGTCATGTTTTTACTTTTTTTTATTTTTATAAATTGAATTCTTTACTAAATGAGAGTGGAGGTGTTACCTTTCACGTGAAGAATTAATCTTTCATAAATCGTCTTGTGAAATATAATTAAAAAAATATTTTAATTATTTATTATATTTAATCAATTTTATTAATTTATTTTTTAATTCAATTGTTAGTTTGATTATTATTGAATAAAATCCTAATACGTTTTAGAATTTTGAGTTACTACTATTGTAAATTTTTACATGTCGAGTAATATATAGAAAACATATAGTAGCTTAAATTCTTTTCCCTGTGTTAAATTAAATTAAATTTTTACATGTCGAGTAATATAAAGAAAATATGTACTAGCTTAAATTCTTTTTGATGTGTTAAACATTAGCTGAGATAAATATTGATAAGGTAACATGACAGTAATCATTCTGGGGCGCTTGAATAAATGCCGTTTTTATTTATTTTTTAACACTGAGACTGAGAGATGTTAAAATTTTACGTTTAGTTATTTCAGTTCACTAAAGCTTGAAATTAAAGTTCAAAGTCATAATTACCAAGATAATTATCCAGATTTATAATTCTACTATTAAAATATTTCATTTTCTTTAGCTCTTGAATTATTTTTATTATTCGATTATAACAAGATTTGAACGCATAAGTGAAATATTACAATGTTATTATGCAAAAACTGTTCACAAGAACATGCCACAAATAAATCAGTTTCAGTACAGAAATTGAGTACAAGAAATATGCTTTTCGGAAGCTAGTATATTATGAATCAGTTATCAAGCAACATGGAATATAATCAAATAAAAATGTGCATATTAATTATTAGTCAGTACTTAATGCTTTATAGTTACACATTCCATTCTCGAGATTTAGTTTTATTTTCATTTTTATTTTACTTGTTGATTATTGATTAGACAGTTCTGGCATCCTAGTAGTGGTTTGTGTATAAATAAAATATAGAGTTCCATTTACATTTTTTAGACTTTCAATTTAAATGAAAATGTTGTCATCAAGTTTTTGCTTAAGTCATCTTCGAGTTTTTTTTGTCGAAATATTAAAATTGTTGATGTATGGTTATGATATTACAATTTAAAAATCAAATGAAATAATAATCTCATTGATTTGAAAAATGATTTACATTATTTTTATGTGTGCCATTTTATAAAAAAATGCTTTTCTTTTATCGATTTGTGATTTATATGAATGCATTTTTATGATTAAGATGGGATGCATTATCTTTTATAAATATGTGTATATATATATATATATATATATATATATATATATAATAAGAGGATTATAATATGTTTGAAAATGAACATTTGTGGATATAACCAAATGTATTTTTATAGTTGATATTGTCGCTTATTGTTGAGAGTTTTAATGATATTGCACGTTTTTTATCAATGAGTGATGAAGGGCATTTTTATTATATGTGTGTCACTGAAAACTTCTAGCTCCACATTATATGAGGCCTTTTTTAACATTTGATATTAAGTAGATTAGTGCATTTAAATCGAAGCATATTGTATTTAGAAATTAATTCTATTATCTTTTCGTTTCAATTCAAATACTTTTTTGCATATTATGATTCATTTAACTTTTCCTGTACTTTGAAATACTTTTAATTTTTGTCAATCATTACATTTGCTTAAACTCGCATTCTATTTGTTAGATTTACCTTTTGTCAAAATTGTAATTGTGTCGTAAAAGTAAGTTTTCATTCTTAATTATATTTATTGTTAGTACTTTTAATGCATAATTTAGTATTGATTCTTAAATATATCACATTATATATTATTGTAGTTATATTAGTACAATGATTATTTATATTAAAGAAATTATATGATTAAAACAATCTTTATGTTGATAAGTTCCAAATACAATATCCAAAGGTTAATTGATATAGTTGTTTACATTTTTTTTTATAATATTATATATTATAAATCTATAACAAAGTTAATGATGTAAATACAATATAGCTGCATTGTCATTAAATATCATCATTGTTATACTTATGTAATTGTGACCCAATTCTGAAATAAATCTGTTTTATGTTGAAGGAAATGGCTTCCAAATGTTCTGATCCTATTAGTCCTAACAGAGAAGTTTGCTCCAACATATACATTTAGTTATTTATTATTAAAATATAGGGGACACTGTGGTAAGCTCCTGGTTTCGTAAAAAAATATTACTTATTAGCGAAATAAGTTAATAACCCTTCTTTAGGACATATCAAAAATTAGGAGCAAACATAGATAAATAAGCCATTAGGGAGCAAACATTTCATATTAACCTCGACCATGCTTGAAAAGCGAGCATTTGTTATTTCGATCACTTTGGCCGGTACCGTAAGACGAGAAAAAAACGGGGGCACTAGAAATCGACTGATTGGTCTTTTCTTCCTTGTTTTTTTGATCATTTTTTCAAGATGTTTGTGGTGTGAAAGTGCAATAAGAGAGTGAGCCTTTTCTTCTGCAAATTTGTTCTTATAGTAGGATAATTTTCAAGATTCTC